GATCTCGCTATGCTGGGATCCTCCTTCCTCAGCCCTCCTGCCGTGCTCTCAGGCAGAGGAACACGTGATGTGCACAGTTTGCAAACTGACCTGGGGATCTGAACCTGTGTTTGGCCCTGTGGCTTTGAGCCTGCTGCTCAGTTTGCTATCGACTGCTCCACCAGGCTGGGATTGTCATTGCTTTTATTACTATCAACAATGATAAGATATATAACTTGGTGTATTAATTCATTAATATTTAGCGATTCCTGTGTTCTGCATTAATGTTCAGAGGAATTAACAGAGTTTTACCCAAGTATGCTAGTTAGGAAATTTCATTGCAAGTCAGCCTGTCATTGGACAAACTTGCGGTTAATAATGGTTAATTGAGGGTCCATTATGTGCTATTACAGGTGCTGGGGAGGAAATCAAAATGGTGAAGAAAAGAAGGAATCCTGGTCCCTTTGAGCATGTATTTTAGGAGAGAACAGGCAATAAACCAATAACCAGATATATATAATGTAATCTTTTTTAGAGAGAGATTTTTGTTGTAAGGCGTGTGTGCTTGCTAGAAAGACAGAAAGACAGAAAGTGAGAAATCACACTCTCTGCCCCCCCACCCCCCTCCAAGGGATGGCCACGCTGCAATCCCTTCTCCTCTTGGGATTTTGGGCACGCATGCACATGCACCCAATGTGAGTTTCAAGCCACCGGGTCTGGGACTTGAACTGTGGTTGGCCATGTGAAAGCCCAGCCCCTTAACCACCATGCCACCTGCTGGTCCCAGAAAATGTAATCTTAAATTTTGATAAATGCAATGAAAAACAGGAACTGGGAATGAGGAATTAAAGGCAACAGTCCTGATGTCTAGAAACGAGTGATAAAGTGTCTGTGCTGGGTGTGTGTGTGTGCAGGAGCAGGAAGTGCACATGTCCTACGGCACAGCCTTCCGGTGTGTGAGACATTGCTGTGCAGGACCGAGCCAGAGTGCGTCAGAGATGGAATCAAAAGATGATCTCGGGCCTGGTCGGTGATGAGAAGAGCAGCACAACGGAGTGGTACTAAAGATTTGGAGGAGAGGGACCCTTTCTTTCACGAAGCAGGGTGAGAGAGGTGGCAAATGTGGAAGCTGCTCTTGCAGATTTTTAACGGCAAGGCTAGCGACATTTGGTCTGGTCGCTCAGTGTTGAGAAATGTGCCCTGTGCATTGTGGGGGACTCGGCCACCTTCCTGGTGTCCCCTCCCACTAGATGGCAGTGGTGATCCCGTCTCCCTGAGCTGTGACAATAGAACCACCTTTATTCATGCCACATTGGCAATGATGAGGGGGTGGAAAAGCCCTCCACTGAGAGCCCTGTGTGTGGGAGAAGCCCGGAGAGAGCTGATGACAGTGTGGCTGAGGATGAACAGCTACTAAAAGAGTGAGAAGAGGGCAACAGCAAAAGCTGCTCGGAGGTGGAAGGTAGACTCCACAGGATTGTTCGACAAGTTGGAGATGGAGGAGGAAAGGGAGTAAAAAAGCCAAGGGTGCCTCCCAGGGCTTTGGGTCTACTCGAACAAAGGAGGGGAGGGATTTTACTCACTGAGGAGGGGGAGTCAGCAGGTGCAGAGCTCTGAGAGTGGCAGGGATGAGGTTTTCAGGGATGTGGCCATGGGATGCCCACCAGACCTGCTGGTGAAGATGTTGAGCAAGCCATTGTGTACCAAGACCCCTCGGCACGTTGAGCAGCTGTGTCCACATGGGAGCGTTCTGAACTGGTCTTCAGACATCAGAATACAGAATCGCAACCCCCAGAACCTGGGAGGACCTTCCCGCCCCAATCCGACTGCTCCTTTCATAACTGAGAAAACTAAGGTCTACAAAGAATGGGATTGATTTTTTTTTTTAAAACTAGCAAAGCTAAAAAAATATAGTTGTTAAATAGAATATTTATATCAGGGTAACCTGTGTGTTCTCTCTGGGTAGGAAAACTTTGATTAGTAAACTTTGAACTTCTTGAAAAGGTTTAAGTTGGCAATATAATGTAATATCTCTACTATATCATAAATGAAAAATCATTCAGTTAATGAAATGCCCTTTCACATTACCTTTAGCCCTATAGTGTTGAGTTACATAAACCACATACGTATACGTCACATACGAATAACACAGAGGGGAACTTACAGGGAAGAGGCGCAGACCACGGGCTGCTCTCTTCTTCATAGTCATTTTCTTGTTCGTTATTTCCATCATCTTCTTGGATCTGAAAGTGTAATTTTCAATAATGTATATTAATCTTAATAAACCTGCACTCAATACCTGTGGAAATAAGAAATAGTTTAAATGATTTTTATTTAAATAACTATATTACAGTTCTTGGCTATAATATTTGTGTCATGTGCAAGCCCTCTGTCACACACAGTACTAAGAGTATTGTATAACTGAGGAAGCAGAACATTTGTAATAAATAATAAATTCGTTTAAAAATGAAACTTACTGTAGCTACACTTACTGTAGCTACTTTGAGATTCAAAGAAGGTCTAGCCCCATAGTCTAGTTGTTCAGAGAGCTAGATCCCATGTTCAAGACCATGGTTCAAGACCAGGCCCCAGGGATCTGAGAAACACACCAGGCACTGTGTGGGCATGCCCCAAATCCCCACAGGATGGAGAAGAAGGGAGCAGCATGACCATTCTCCGCTGGGGTGATCCCCTCCCACTGTCTCTCTCTGTCTGGGCACATGCCCTCTAATAATTAAAAACAAATGATGAAACTTAGGTGCAATAAAGAACTTCTGCATAAAACTGAACATAGTTATTTCTCTTAAAAACTATGCGCTTTGCTTCCTTCGAACATTTGTGTGTAGTTTATCAGTTCACAGATATCCTTCGTTATATGAAGTATATGATACACAGAAATTCAACAGAGTTATAGCAGGGTTTATTCTCCATCAAAAAGAAAGAAAGAAAGGGAGTAAGAGTATGTCTGTCTTCTGGAACTCAGGCTCACTACGCTTAGAAGGCAGAATTACTAAGAATGGGCAGAGCCTTTAGCTCCAGAATGGCCAGCCTGTGTCTGTAATCTCTGACGGAGACATGGAGTCTACGGCCACAGAGCACACTGGCGCTCATGGGAACAAGGAGTGAGCACACCAGCGACCGTTTCACTTGTGCAAAAACATCCAGGCAAGGGACTGGAACTTGGGTGCATCTAGGATAGGCCACAATTTGTTACCATGGACTCCAAGTGATGATACAAATGATTTATGTTTTTGTCCTTAATAAAATGACTTGAAATGATGAGGCTATCTGCTCTGCATTTGAAAAGCTATTTTTAAAAATTAAAGCATTGTTAATGCTTCCATATTAAAGCATTTAAAAATGTATAGTAGCTTCGGTATGCAAAGGTATTTGACCCGGATACTGACTTCATTAATTTGGTTATCACTCATTTTGTCCAATGAGAAACCAACAGAATTGATTTTTTTTTGTCTTTTAAATAGCTAATGATATTCAGAAAAGCAATACAGTCCCAGATTTCCAGTGGAATCTTGAAAATGAAAATCCCTTTGGTATTTATTTATTGAGCTTGATGTAGTAACTAATTTTATACTTAGGTCCTATCCTCCCCTTGGTGACTCCAGCAAATGCTAGTTTGAAAAACCATGCGGTGCTGGCCCCTAGCACAGTGCAGGGGGGACCCAGCCATGGCCCACTGTGATTAAACCCTAGCCGAGGGGCTTGAAGAACATGCCAGGCACACAGGCCCGCATGCTCACGATCCTGAGGGGGGATGAGAAATGGAAGAAAATGGATTGTGGCATGAACGTGCCTTACTGGGAGTGCTTTCCCTCTCTCTCTTGAAAAATAATGAATTCCTGGTACAGATGTCTTACCAAAGCATCCAACTGAGCTCCAAGAAATTCTTAGTACATACTCTGCACATGCCACCTCGCATTTTAAAGCATAATATTTATCAAAAATGGTCAATCATTCATTAAATATTAAGTGGGACCAGCAGATGGTATACTGGTAATATCACTGGACTCCCACATGGCCAATTGCAGTTTGAATCCTGGACCTGGAGGTTTGAAACTCATGCTGGGCATGTGTGCATGCATGCCCAAAATCCCAAGAGGAGAATGGAGGAGAAGGAACTGTGGTGTGGCCATCCCCTCTGGGGGGTTGATTTTTTGCTTTCTGTCTCTCTGTTTCTCTCTGTCTCTGTGGTGAGTGCACACGCATTGTAGACAAAACTCTCTTTTAAAAAAATATGTATTAAGGGCCTTCTCTGTGTATAACACAAGGCAAGTTTCCAGGCATAAACCGGAGAGACAACATAGGATGTGCTCCCAGGATACGGAATGTTTAACTGGGAGAATCGAAGTGGAAGGCATGAGAGACACTCTCCAGGGCACCATTCCCATAGACGGTGACGTACAAGGCACCCCAAGAGCCGGGTCAGAAGCAGAGGACACTCCAATGATTCCACAAGGTCACTAACTCCTCAGCGGCTCACTTGACTTTATAAAGTCAGTATTACAAAAGGACTTGTGAAGGCCAATGTTACTAGGTCGGGGAAGTCATGACGAATTTTTTTACGCAAAAATGTGTATGACTTTTCTGACAATCCAATAAAACTGGTTTGCCTTCTTTCTCCATAAAACGATGTGAGAGAAGTCAGGTGTCGACTCAGAAGAGTGCTTCATACCAGGAACACCAAGAGTGAGGGGGGAAACTTGGCCATGCATGAGATACAGACTATCCATGTGACCAGTGCAGCAGGACATATAGACCTTGGCTGAAGATATGAATCCAGAGGACTGGCCCCATAGCCTAGTGGTAAAGGGAGCCACGTCCTACGTGGCAGAGCACAGTTTGAATCCTGGCGCCTGCAGTATGAAAAACATGCCAAGTAGGTGAGTATATACACGCCAAATCCAGATGGGTTAGAGAAACGGAGAAGTAATGTCGGCATGACTGTCCTGTGGGCAGGTGCTTTCCCCCTCCCTGGTGACTTGGTGAGTGCTTGGGCCTTCTGACAATCTAAAAAATAATTTAAACGGCATAAATCTATAACTGCTGCATTCAGAACCTAATTCTGGTTTTCTATTCTATCACAAGAACAGCCCTGCACACCAGATAGAAGCATAAGATTTTGCTATTGAGCATCCTAAAGTCTTGCATTATTTTTATTTTCACAGTTATTAGTTAATAAAGGTCTGTTGAGGAAATACAAAATATCATTATAGCTAAAGCATAAATCATTATGCTGCTTTGAATACTTGGATCCAGTCAATTTTTAAAAATATCATTTCATTTGTAGGAAAATTAAACTAAAACTAAAGTAAATAATCAGTGGATTCACGTGTTTGCAAGTTGAAAAACTGAACTCAGCGAAAAGGAAGCCAGGTATACCTTTATGTGAATTCTTTCTGTGTTCTTTCTTCTAAACATTTGATAATTTGAGGAAGGGTCAAAGAGAACCAAATGGAAACAAAGAAGCCAGGTAATAAAAGACTCGCAATGTCATCATCGCCATTGTCACTTTTCATTGATCTAAAATCAAGGAGCGAGCAGTCTCTGACGTCCACGCCAGAAGCACACATAAAATATCGCATTGAGACCCAGCAATCTCCTGACAAGATTAAACTCTCCAGTCCTGATGTAGTAAGTACTATTTCACAAATGAAATAAACGGCCTTTGAGTTCATATTACTACTAACTATCAGAAAATAAGTGTCATTTGACAAATTAAACAGAAAAACCCCCTAAAGCTTATGTCACTACAAATCTATCCCCAGTAGGTATGTACATGGCTGGGATAATTCCTAGCTTCAACATACAGAATATTAGAAAAGTTAATTCTTATCGATCAGAGTATTTGAAACTTGAAATATGGACAGAAAGGGAAATCATACATCTAATGAAGACATGGCAGGAAAGTAAGGAGGGGTTAATGGCCTCAAACCCTCGGAAAAAAGTCGCGATACATAAAACGTGTACACAAAGTACTTAACTATGTGAATTCAGTATTCCATTTTGATAGAATGCAACACACCATAGGAGCCTACATTTTCTTTCCCTTTTTTATTTAAATTCTGGAGTATAACTGGCAATGACATGAGTATCACTGACTGGCAGAGAAGCATCTCGTTAAAAAAAAAAAAAAGAAAAAGAAAAAAAAGAGAACTAGAAGACACCGGCACGGGAATCTCAGTACATAATTTACCTCATAAGAGCCCCATGGTGTAGTGCTCAGGAAGCTGGATCCCATATAACCGACTGCACAGTTCAGATCCTGGCCCCAGTGGCCTGAGAAAGTGCACTGGGTGCACGTATGTCCATGTGCAAAGTCCTCGGAGGATGGGGAAACCGAGGAGAGGGGCTGTGGCATGATCATGCCCTACGAGGGGTTGCTTTCTCCCTCTCCCTCTCTCCGTCTCTCTGTCTCTCTCTGGCAAGTGCATGCACATTCTAGGAAAATAAAAAGCAAAAAACTAGAAGGCAGAGACACATATCCCCAGTGAATAATTTTCCTTACTAACCCTGCCGTATTTACCGTGTCTCCGTTGGCCAGACCTCATTCTAACCAGCGGCCAGAGGGTGTGCTGTTCTCCTTTGACACCAGCAACGCGAACAGGGTGTGTGCGCCGATTTTACCTGGATTCACAGCAACTGAAGGGGCGTTCCTTCTAGATGAGAAATGCACGCAGTGGACCCCAACCAACCACACGCTGTGATAGAATACATTCTGGAAAGTGGCAATACGGCAGACCTATAAAAGGTAAATTTGTGGATGGCACAACTGTGGGAGAAGGTGCTCGAAGCTCCTGCGGAACAGACTGTAACCACACAGGAGGCTCGCTTGGTTCCCAGACCACCGGGAAAGTCTGGGAGGATGGCGTAATCCCAATTCTCTGGGGTGAGGCCGGAGTACTGTGACAGGGCGTGACATGGTCTGAAATAACACCACATATGTGCATGTGAACACGTACACACACGCACACACACACAGAGTAAATGTGTAGGGTATTTAAGGGACTGGGTTGTTGAAAAAGACATGCCATATTTTTTTCTATGTTTTTCTATGCAAAAATGCATCGTGACTTTTCTGGCAACCCAATAATAAAAAAAGGGAAACTTCCCTGGTATAAAAACCAACATTGTTATTAAAGAAATATATTTCTCCCACACCTGCACATAAAATCAAGACAGAAAAGAATCAATAAAACCAATAAGCTCACTTTGGAAGAAAAATATA